TTTTTTTTTTTTTTTCTGCTGCAGTTGTCCTTGTTGTTTAACTGGCCCAGGCTAGGTTTGAACCCACCAGCCTCAGTGCATGTGGCTGGCACCACAACCACTGTGCTATGGGCACAGAGCCCTCAGTGAAGTTTTGAGTTGTCTTTTGGTGCCACCTCTCTTTTGCACATTAAAAAAGCAAACAAACAAACAAACAAACAAACAAAAGCAAAGAGAATGTGGAACGTTTCCCAAGAAACTCACTAAGCAATTCTTGGTTAGTGGGGCCACATGATGATCAAGACCAGTGGCTAAAGCAAAGAACACTACAGTTACTGACTCCTCTTCCACATTATATTCTAATATTTTAAATAGTCCTGTACTAAGAGTAAGAATTTAAATTATCAATTATAAAAATCACTACTGTCAGCATAGCTCTTTAATTTGGGGGAGAGGCAAAAAAAGGATACTTAAAAATAAAGAAAGCCTTTTGTAACTATAACTTAACAGATGATTAACAGGAAAAGCCAGCTCTTATATTAGAACCTCAAAAGAAAATGGCCGAAAAAGAACTATACACATTATCAACTCAATGACATCAATATATGGTGAAGTAACCTGATACCTATGATTCCAAGCAACAAACCCAGGGAATTCTAATAAATATCCCTTTTCATATTTAGCCTAAGAATAACAAACATGATATAATCCTTTGAAGCTTTTACAAACTGATGTCATTATTTTCTTAAATGATCCTCTCTTTAAAAACAAAATCAAACATACTGAAAAATTACATGACGCTGTATTAGTGATTTCCAAATCTCTCAAACCATAAAGAGATTTCCTTATTACTTAAATTTTCCCAAGCATGTCTGAATAAATATGTACTTTTCCAACTTTGCTCTAATTATCTAAGTTCCCTTTTTAGTTTGGTAGTTAAAAGCAATGTTTCCATGTCACAATTTTAAAGTTTTCTAACTAAGTCACACTGATGATCTAGTTAGATTTATTTGCTTTAGTAGAAACTAACAAATTCCAATAAACTAGTCTCAAGACTTTACTATTTCCAAAACTTTTTTTTTTAAAATAGATAAGTTCTCACTATGTTTCCCAGGCTGAATTTGAAGTCCTGAGTAGCTGGGACTCCAGGTACATGCCACAGCACCTGGTCTAATTTCCAAGAGCTTTTGGGCGGCGTATGTGGCTCAAAGGAGTAGGACACTGGCCCCAAATACCGGAGGTGACGGGTTCAAACCCAACCCCGGCCAAAAACTGTAAAAAAAAAAAACAAAAACCAAACATGCCACAGTACCTGGTCTAACCTCCAAGAGCTTTTGAAGTCATGTTATTGTACATAAATATTATCAACCCTTGGGGGTTTTTTTCTATACAAGTTCAGATGAAGTCACAGTAGAGAAGCTATATTTATTTGCTTCTTCTCCATCTTTAGACAACAAATAAAATGTGCTGAATTAAACTAACTCTTTAAAAATTTAACTATAAATATGACCAAACACTAGACCAGGATGCCAAGAAAAGATTAAGAACTATTTAAAAGGAGTTTTTTTTGGGGGGGGGGGTTGTTTGTTTTTGTCTCTTTTGAGACAGTCTCATTCTGCTGCCCAGGCTAGAGTACAGTGGCATCATCGTAGCTTACTGTAACCTCCAACTCATGGGCTCAAGCAATCCTGTTGCTGTAGCTGGGACTACAGATGTGTTGTACCACCATGCTTGGCTAATTTTTTCTATTTTTAATGGAGACAGTCTTATTTTTGCTCAGGCTGGTCACCAACTCCTGACCTCAAGGGATCCTAAAGCCCCCACTTGATGGACGGAAGACAAGGCCTTAACTGCAGGAGCAGTGGCATTCCAGGATGGTAGCACAGGGCTAACATGTACTCCTGATATTAGATGATTTATAAAATAAAGGCCTTTTATAGGCAAGGAGGGATGATGATTCTTATTCCTTTAAAAAGCATGGAAACACTGCTGGATAGTCCTTGGGTAAAGGAATTCACTGTCTTTCTTCTGAGATCTCAGAGGGGAGAAATACACAAACACATGGCACAGTTTACTAGTTTTTTACTACTGAGAAGGGCCTATGTTTTCTCCGTGTTATAATTCAACATCAGTACTAATCCCATTTCACACAGAAACTTTTTTCATTCTTGCTTTCCTTCGTTTTTAACTTCTCTGACTTCTACCGGCCCTCTAAAATTTAACTTTGGGAACTGCACAGATCACTTTGGGATTTGTGGAAGTGACAAAGATGAACGCTACTGTGTGTTCTCTTGGTGGAAAAAAGGCAAACAGAAACTGCTGGGTCTCACACTAACAACTGTTCCTCACTTGGAGGGAGCAGATTCTCCAAAGTCACAAAGTGACAAGTAAGACTCTAGGGTTAAAAACTCTGAAAGGAAAGATCATCGAAATAGGAGAGTATTTTTTAAGTAAAGTGCCGACAGAAAGATTCTAAGACAGGATCTTGACTATCCTGTCAACAGTGTACCAGCAGCAGAGAAAGTGGTTTATAAGCTTAGTCAAGTTCTTTGACTCCAATGGCAAATATCTGTACTTTGCTTCCCCACAGTCTCCACTTCTGGATCACTGGAGTTTTTTTACCACTGACTTAAATGGCAAACATTCAAAGTCTCCAGAGAAAATGATGGTCATCATCTCACCAAAGGTTAAGACTGGCAAGCAACTTGGAATTTTCTTTTCCTAAGAAAAAAATACATTCTGGAAATGTGAGATAAAAAGAGTGATTTTTATCAGTCAAAGAGAAGTAGGGCGCCAGCCCAAAATACCAGAGGTGGCGGGTTCAAACCCGACCCTTCCCAAAAACTGCAAGAAAAAAGAAAGACTGATTTTGACTTTTATCTAAACTAAAAATTAGATCAATGAACAGTTTTTTTTTAAAAAAAAAATTCCTACCGTTATAATGTCACCAAACTGGCTAAAAAGAAATCTTCCCTAGGAAATTTTCTTTTTTTAATATTTACTAGAGTAGCACAACAAATCCCAGACCAATAGATGGTATTTTTACCAATAATTTGACAGTCTCCAGGAGGTCAAAATGAAGTACAGACTAGTAGATGAACATAGTTAAATACGTAGCAGGTTAAAATAATACTCTAAATACACTGACAAATGTAACCTCAGACAGACTGAGATTACCAATCAGGTTTTCTCCAGGACACTATCGGGTCTGACATTTTTATTAAACATATAAAGGACAAGGAGAACATGCTAACCAAGTGTGAGAAGGTTCTGAGAGCTGGGGTGAACAACGGACACCAAATCCTGATGCAGGGAGGGAAGAGCACACGACCGCTGGGATAGAGTGACATGACTCCAAGCAAAACTGGGAGGCAGACTTCAAAATATCTGCAGAGAGTTCTAAAAGAGCCCAAGTTCACACAGGAAGTGGGGGGGGGGGGCAAAGAAGCAAAGGAGGGAGATACCAGCAGCTGCAGACTTAGCCCCAGGGAAGGGGTACACACACACACACACACACACACACACGGATGTTTCTCACAAACCAAGGACTCAAGCACCACCCTTCACCTGCAAAGAAGGTACAGAAACAGGAGGCTGTCCATGGCAAGAAGTCCCACACCCCAGTGGGCCTGGTTTTGTGGTAATTACAAAGGAAAGAAAATCTGTACGTTGCTTCCCCACAGCCTGGACTTTGCATCTTTTTGTCAGTCCACTGTCAGGAAGTTGTCTCCTTTCAGTTCTAATTGTCGCTTCTCTTACGTGTGAGGCTGACTGCTTTTATCTACTTTGCTCATAAAATCATCTCAGTCGATCCTCCAGCTGAAGCAGTTCTGACTAATGCCAATAAAGGGCCACAAACCACGGATGGCTCACACACGACTGGCCCTCTGTGTCTGTGGGTTCTGCACTCACGGATTCAACCAACCACAAATAGAAAATAGGTGAAAAAACTGATTTGATATTGAAAGTGTCCAGATTTTCCTTGTCATTATTCCCTAAGCAATGCAGTGTAACTGTTTCCAATGACTTTATAGTGTATTGGGTATTATTTGAAGTACAGTCACGTGTTGCTGAACGATGAGGATATGTTCTGAGGAATGCATCCCGAGGCAATGTCATCGTGTGAGCACGCTAGAGGGCACTTACACAGACCTAGGCAGAACAGCCTGCCACACACCTGGGCTATCTGGTACCGTCTATTGCTCCTAGGCTAAAATCTGTACAGCCGGTGACTGTAGGCAACTGTACGCAGTAGTAAGTAGTTACATATCTAAACATGTCTAAACATAGAAAAGGTAGAGGAAAATATAGTAAAAAAGATAAAGAACAGTCCACCCATGCTGAGTTCTCATCATGAGTGGAGCTCCCAGGACTGGAAGCTGCTCCAGGTGAGTCAGAGAAGTCAACGTGAAGGCCCAGGATGTGACTGTGCACTACTATAGACTTTCACTCAACACTCAGGCTACACTAAATTTGTGAACCATCTTTTTCTTTCTTCAACCATAAATTAGCCTTCTGTAACATTCTTACTTTTAAACTTTTTAACTTTTTGACTCTTTATAATAACATCTAGCTTAAAACCCAAATATACGGTTTAGCTGTACAAAAAATATTTCCTTTCTTTACATCTTTATTCTGTAAGCTTTTTCCTATTTAAACTTTTTTTATTAAAAACTAAGACACAAACACACATATGCACGTAGGCCAACCCAGGTCAGCGCCATCCTGTCACTGTCTTCCACCTACACAGCTGGTCCTAATGGGAGGTTTTCAGGGGCAAGTAACAGGCAATCTGTTATCACCTATGATAACAAGGCCTTCTTCTGGATATCTCCTGCCTGAAGCTATTATATACTCAATTTTTTTTTTATTAAGTAAAGGAGTACATGCTAAAATAGCAATTAGAAGTATTACAGCACAGTAAATAAACCAGTAACACAGCTGTTTAGCATCATCATCAAACATCATGTACTCCAAGTAGTCGTGTTATTTTTATACGACTGGCAGCACAGGCAGCTTGTTTACACCAGCGCCACCAGTCTCATGATGCCTGGAGCTACCACACTATGACAGCTATGACATCACTAGGTATAGAGGTTTTCAGCTCCTTTATAATATCAAGGGACCACCATAGTATGTGTGGTCCCCTATTGACAGATATGTTATGTAGCACATATATGAGAAGCTGTACACAAGTTATGTGCAAATACTAGGACATTTTATTATAACAAACTTGAGCATCCTTAGAGTCTGATATCCAAGGAGGTCCTGGAACCAATCCCCCATGGATACCAAGGAATGACTACATTCCCAAATCACCTTTCTGAGACCTGGAGTGTAAACAAAACTTAATTACCTAGGCTAATAACAAAGAGTTAGATCAACCACAATTCCAAAACAGTGGATTCTATTCATGTGAACATTTCCCATATCAGTACTTTCTTAATCTTTCCTAATTAAAAAAAGAGGCTCACAGAGGTGATCCAAATCTGAATTTACAATGAAAACCTGAAATGTAAAGGATAATTGAAACATGTAAAGTATAAAATTCTTGTTTAAGAAAATATACCTAATTTACTAGCATCTATTTAGCTAATTAAACAAAATTACTTTCAAATTCAAGTTCTCTACCTTGAGCCATGGTTTCATCTGGTAGTCCTCTGTGCCTACTACATAAAAAGGAAGCAGGGACTCAGCCTACCACTGACGGCCTGAAAGTCATTCCCAAGGCCTATGTTACAAATGATCCCTAACTTGATCTGGTCCATGGCACTTCAAGTTATAAACCACCAAAGTAACCTGTGCCACTTGCTTAAGGAAAGTACAGCCCAGGATCAAGAAGGACAATGGAAAACAACACATAAAGAAACAACCAGAAATAGCCAGAGCCTCAAAACTCAAGCATTCTAATATTTTAAGTATGAATGATCAATATGCAATTTGAATAAAGCTCTGAATCCACTCAGGGTTTCTGTTTTGTTCAAAGAACACTGAGAAGACTCAACAAAAATATTACAAATGAGTTTGAAAATAAAATACAAAAAGAGTTACATAGGCTCAGCACCTGTAGCACGGTGGTTACAGCGCTGGCCACATACACCAATGACAAATGCAACAGAAAATAGCCAGGCGCTGTGGTGGGCGCCCATAGTCCCGGCTGCTTGGCAGGCTGAGGTAGAAGAATCGCTTAAGCCCAGGAGTTGGAGGTTGCTGTGATGCCACGGTGCTCTACCGAGGGCAACACAGTGAGTTACATAAACAGCAAAGTTGTTGTCTTACGTTTTTTACTAAAAGCCCTGGCTGAATATTTGCATGCTCCTTTATATTTGCTCCTCCAGTTATAAAAAAAATGTTTTAAGAGTTTGTAGAACCCAATATTTGCTCCTCCAGTTATAAAAAAAAGTTTTAAGAGTTTGCAGAACCCAGATGACAAATATATAAAATGAAACAAAGGCTCTACGCCAAGATGCACCACTAAGTAAGCTGGGTAACAGCTTATGTTAAGTTAAACTCCACAGGATAATATCAATATGATGCTGCTGTGGGGTTCTTTCTCTGGAGGAGAGAAATAAGGGGTGAAACAATAAGGTGTTAAATAAAAACATGATTATGAATGCAAAATTTGGGGCCATGAACCACAGCATATAGCAGTAGGCAGTTAAGAAAATCAAGACCTGGCTTGGTGCCCATAGTTCAGTGGTTAGGGCGCTGGCCACATGCACTGGGGCTGGCGATTTGAACCCGGCCTGGGTCTGCTGAACAACAATGACAACTACAACAACAACAAAAATAGCCGGGCACTGTGGCAGGGACCTGTAGTCCCAGCTACTTGGGAGGCTGAGGCAAGAG